CTACTCTTTATATCGAATTTAAGTTGCCAAGGAATTTTTTACGTGCATGCCAATGTATACATGAGACCTCGGTTTTTCGTCCCACCCAAATGACTAGACAACTGTCCTTGTCAGGCCCTCCATCCTGCACCACTGACAAGGAGAAACCACATCAGTAAATCATGATGAACTTTCTCGGCCAATGCTGGGATTGAACACACAACCTCCAGGCTAGCGAGCCAGTGTCTCATCCACTTACATGTAGCCACCGTGGGTTCCCACCAGGGCTTCCACTTCAAAATTTTCACTGCCTGTCATTTTTGATAACGCACGAAAACTTTTCAAAGTAAATTCATATTTCATGTTTTTTATTCATGGTAGGGTATTGTGAATTCACGTGTCTATACCACTTTGTCACCGTTTTGGCTACTTAAATAACGAAATAGTTGAATTGGCCGGAGAAAAACCATTTTAGTAGCTCACACGTAATTAACACGTGCTCTATAGAAAACACACTGACCTGGATAATTTTGAGTTGTAATACATTAACTTTGAAATGAAGATAAATATATAATTATCCATGGCATATATCTCACATTTTTGTGGTTTTAGACCATCTCTCACGGAATTACGGGCCGCAGAATTGTGACGTAAATCCTAATAATGTATAACTAAATGACTAACGGATAACTAACTTCACGGCTAGTGACACTAGCGCCCCCTAGAATATGGTCGTGTATAAGAGTAACCGTATATACACAACATTTCTTCTACACGTGGAATTATCAATATTGCTGCACAATAGAACTGGAATACGTATTTTTCTTAATTGTTCGGTAAGCAAGTTAACTAATCTCTAGATTTTATTTCAACAATTTCCACAAGGCCGTAATACCGCTATAAACATTTTTAAATGCATTTTTCTCCCAACACGTATGTTGTTGAGGACTTATGTAATTTCTATGCTTTTTTTATTTTATATGACAGTTGGTTGGATTCGAAGAGCAATACTTCATATTAATTGCCCTTTTTCAAAGTAAATAATAACCTCGTTTACATTGTGCCTGACCGTAATAGCGGTAAACGGCTTTGTTGTTGAAAATTCTTATGACACATGGACAATACGTGAATGATTAACAATGGGCCGCTTCCCGCCGTTGATTAGATTCCAACTTATCAATTAACATTTATTGTTCTACTACCAGACACTCATCATTAATTATCAACACAACACTCAGTATAATCTGTTGACGACTATATATACAACTCTATAACACCAATCACGAGATTGGCTTCTAGACGACGTGCATTCTTGTATAGTTACACAGTGAAGGTCGATCGTAGCCATGTTTGAAAGTTTTTTTTTTTTAAAAAAGACCCTCTTTCCAGCGTGCAAAATGACCGTTAGGTCAGATCTAGGAACGGTCATTTTCCATAGCCGTATGTCTCGACCGGCATATACGGCCGACGTGGAACCCATGGTTCCCACCAATTGGACTGATGATGACGGCATACACTATGCAGTATGCTATGAGGGGAGTTTTGTTCAAACTGCTGTGTTTTTGGCTACTCTTCATCGAGAGAGAGAGAGAAATGGGATTTAATGTCCACTCGACACAAACTAGGTCATTTCGGGACTAACTCAATAATTCGCTTGCGTGTAGGGGTCTTTAGCAGTGGGAGGAAACTGGAGGACTCAGAGAAAACCCACAAGGATGGACAGGCGACCCTACTCCTTGTCACGTTCAACAGGGGAATCGAAACCCCACCAGTTGACTCAATGACAGACCGTATGATACAGCACATAGTGCACGTGCTAACCATTCGGCCATCCACGACCGCCCCCCCAACTCTTCATCGTCAAGAGCTCGTAACTTGTACAACAAAGGATTTTTCATACAAGGCCCCTTTACAAATGACACAGAGGAAACTATGGTGAAAACACCATTAAAATAAACATCATATAAAAATAGAAAGTCACCTTAAACGATGAATGAAACTCTTTTAAATCTGTTAATTTTACCGCTGAAAAATATAAATAACACAATAAATACAAATTTAACAAATCAGATTGTTCACATATATCTCAAATATGTAACTATATTTATCATATAGATTGTTCCTATTATATCTTGAGTGTGAAAAAAAAAAAAAAAAACGTTATGAAGAATGGTCTGTGTTTTTCAAAAGTGTCTTATTAAGATGTATAAAGATGGCAGCAGGAAATCAATAGAAACCCATGTAATCTTTAAATGGCTATAATCTGAGATAGAATTAATCGGTCTGAATGTTTTTGAATAAAGCCTTTTAAACATACTTTAGTGCTTTCATATTTGTTAGTTCATGAATTACAACCACATGCATTTAAATATGACTATAAGCATCAGATATATATTTCTCGAGATTAAATTTCAAACATTGATATTGTTAAAGTCAATGATTGTCAATTGAGGAATATTCAATCACTTACAAACTACAATATTTGGTAAGGGTCAATCTTTAAGAATGGTTCAATTCCTTTTGGAATTTACAAACATCTTCTGCACAGAGAGAGAGAGAGGGGAGAGAGAAAGGATAGAGAGAGAGAGGGGTGAGAGAGAGAGGGGTGAGAGAGATAGAGTGTAAGGCCCACTCGACACAAACTCGGTCATTTCGGGATCCAGAGAAAACCCACGAGGTTGGATAGGTGACCCTACTCCTTGTCACATACAACCGGGGAATCAAAACCACGGAAGTTGATGCAATGACAGACCTTATGATTCAGCGCGCACATACAAATCATTTGTCCATCTACCCCCCCTCATCCCCTGCAGACCGCAGATGATTTAACCAGGCCAGCGACACCTATAAGTTTCACAAATATATCTTATGCGTTACCTACATATTTTTTGATGCTGTTTTACACAATTCAAATGAAAAGATGGCCTTCTTTATATCAATAAATAAAGCGAAAAATTGACTAGGACAGGAAATCAAGTTAAAGATTTGAAAATGGAAATGGGAATAAAAACCGGAATTTTTTGATGATCTGCACCGTTATCACAGTAAACAATCATTATTTAATACAACAGTTCAGATAAGTGGACATAGTATAAAATAAAGATTGCAGTTATATTTGTTAATTGGCACATCAAACAAAATTGCTTCACCATTTACTTCCAAAAAGTTAAACAAAGAACACACACAAGATGAAAGACAACACCCTCTGTCACAGAACAATATTAGTAGCAGTGCCAACTGTTCAGTTAGTTTAATATTTACTTTTGCAAGCCTATATCAACTTGTGGTGTTGGGTGGTGTCAGATAGGTATCATTGATTCAAGTGTTGTGGTTTCAATCCCATGCATGTATGTGACAAGGAATACGATTGGTTGCCTAACCACATGGGTTTTTTCCATTTTCGGCCAAATTTTGTGTGCAAACAATCTAAATAAATATGCTAGTGCCAAAATGACCTAGTTTGTGTTGAGTGGGTCTTAATATCTTAATAATTGTTCCCAACATAACTGTAACAGTAAATAATCTACGTAATACATGTGTAACCTATGTAATACATGTGTAACCTATGTAATACATGTGTAACCTATGTAATACATGTGTAACCTATGTAATACATGTGTAACCTATGTAATGCATGTGCAATGTAATCTGTGTAATACATGTTGAATCTATGTAATGCATGTGCAATGTGTTGTGTAATCTATGTAATGCACATAAAATCGGTGTAATACATGTGTAATCAATGTAATTAATGTGTAATGTATGTGCAATCTATGTTATGCATGTGTTATCTATGTAATAGATGTTTAAGCTATGTAATACATGTTTAATCTATGTGTAATCTATGTAGTAGCTATGTAATATCTATGTGTAATCTATGTAATAGCTATGTAATCTATGTAATATCCTTTTCCTCTATGCTGTGTAATATCCACATAACCTATGTAATACCTGTGTAATCTTTTGAATACATGTGTGGCTGCTAGTGCTTAATTAGTAATGATTAATTCAAACTTTTTTTTATCATGCACATGCCAGTTTCTAGATTAGCATTATGTAATGACCATTCAGCTAACTTACATGTACATGGAAATTTGTTCACAGGAGTTCTGTCATTCGATGGACGACTGAACGGGACTGTGTTGTTACTTTCTGCTGTCAAGTTAAAATAATTCATAAATATACTTAACCCAGAATTTGAATTGTTTGTTCACGACATTGTTCATAAACAATGGCTTGTAATTTGGCAAATGCACAGACAAATAATATACAAGCAGGCATTGTAATCACGCTCCCACATCAGAAAAATTTAGATTTAAATATTGTCATATAGTAATGCCACCTTTCACGTAAGAGTTCTCTCCCCTTTGTGAGTTATCTCCCATATATGGAGAGAGAGAGAGAAATGGGGTTTAACGTCTACTCGACACCAACTAGGTCATTTCGGGACTAACATATGGTTTAATTTTATTTCAATAATTCGCTTGCGCGTAGGGGTCTTTAGCAGTGGGAGGAAACCGGAGGAGCGGGAGAAATGCCAAACCAGAGATCCATCCACAATAGTAGCTGAAATTTGTGGAAAATATGGAGAATTCACCAAAAATACATCTCTAGACCTGCAGTGAAAATTGGCAATGAGTGACATTTTTCTTAAATATTCACTTTTACTATAATTTTGTTAAAAAACTTTGAAGTTGTAGTCAAATTATTTTAAGAGTCCACCCATTTTAAAGTGAGGTGTATAAATCACTCTCATAAATATTTTCAGAAGTGTATTTTATGCACTCCAGAGATTTTCAAGCGATGAGGCCTGAACAAGTCATAGTTTGTAAGACTAAATGAATAACAGATAAACATCGTACAAAGGAAATGAAAATGAAAATATTTGAATATGAAGTAAAATATCTAGCTAAAATGGTGAAACCAACCTTTGTTTGACGGTGATGTCGAGGGGTTACGTAAACGTTTATTTTCTATGTTTTCTGAAACTGGGACAGAAGTATTTTGAGACGGCACCTCATTTTGACTAGTTTTTGCTATAGGTATACCATGAGCCGTGCTATCTTCATCTAGAAAGAAAAACAAGAAGGCTCTGTCATCACCATCTCACACCCTCAAGAATAATGAACCAGTCTAGTAAAGTATGGTATGCTCAACGCTATTTTGAAGTTATTTTAACATTTATAAGTTCAGTTGTTCAGTTTCCTACAGCAAACCCACCAACAAATTTTCGCGTAAATATTAAATATATTTTCACACTACAGAACCAGAAATACAACTCTACTTCACAATAAGACTGCAACCTAAATAAAGCTACATGTATATGCTCGTGAAATTATATCAACTCTTTCGATGTGAACAGACTAAGAAAGCTTTTGTATCTAAGACTATTACAGCATATAAGCTACTTTGTTTGATGGTGGATCACAATTACTATCATAACTAATTAATAAACAGAACAATTTGTACTTCAGTCGAGCTTGGATGAAACTATTTTAATAATAGATAAGGAATAAAATATAAAGAGAGAGAGAGAGAGAGAGAGAGAGAGAGAGAGAAATGTGGTTTAAGTCCACACAAACTAGGCCATTTCAGGACTAACATATGATTCAATTTCATTTCAATAATCTGTTTACGCTTTGGGGTCTTTAGACGTCGGAGGAAACCAGAGAAATACTCACTAGGCTGGACAGGCAATGAAATGAAATGAAATGGGGTTTAACGTCCTACTGTTCTGCTCCTAACCTGGGCTAATGAAGACGTGCATACACCATAGTGTGCTATGAGGGAAATTTTGCCCGGACAGCGCCGCTACGGCCTACTCTTATATCGAATTCTAACTGCCAAGGGATCTTTTACGTGTAAGCCAATGTGTACTAGGGACCTTGGTTTTTTGTCCCATCCGAACGACTAGACAGCTGTCCTTGTCAGGCCCTCCGCCCTGCATCACTGACAAGGGGAAACCACGCCGGAAAATCGGAATGAACTTTCTCGGCCAACTGGACAGGTAAGTGTACTCCTTGTCACGTACACGTGGGATATCAAAACCACGCCACTTGACTCAATGACATACACGTTAAACCATTCGGCCACGCAACCCCCAATGAAATATAAAGAATGTGCAATGGCTGACTTATTTATTGATTCTTACCTCCATTTATTTTATGTATACCGTCATCCTTAAAAGATGGCACACCAGTTGATACAGGAGATTGTACATGGGGTGTTTCTCCTTGTAGAGGAGATGGTTGCTGTTGAGGGGGAATAGGTTGTTGTTGTTGAGGGGGAACAGATTGTTGCTGAGGGGGGATAGACTGCTGTTGTTGGGGGATAGATGGTGGCATGGGTTGATGCTGCGGTTGTTGTACAGGCTGTCGATTTTTATTATGTGAAGAATAGTTATCAACTCCATTGTTTCCTCTTCCCCTAACGTTCCGCTTTTGAGGAGGAACATATCTGAAATAAAGTGATGATCAAAGTTAGAAATGGTGTTTAATTCTCCCAAACATATCTGAAATAAAGTGATGATCAAAGTTAGGAATAAAGCATTTTTTGTTTTTATGGTGTTTAATTCTCCCAAACAATCCTCATTTTGCTGATCACATTTTCGGTCAGTCCACTTTTTATGATTGATTCCCCCTCCCCCCCAAAAATCCCCATTTTGGGAAAATTTTAGTCTATTCTGCTTATCGTTTATAAATGACACTACAATGGTATTTTGTAATTGAACTGGAAATACACTGACAAGGGGAAAACATGATCAGTTGTTTCAATGGCATTTTGTAATTGAACTAGAAATCCAACTACAATGGTATTTTGTAATTGAACTGGAAATAAACACTGACAAGTCAATGGCATTTTGTAATTGAACTAGAAATACACTGGCCACAATTCTATGGAATACAATTACTGTTTATTACTGAGTGACTTTTCAACTAGGAATCATTAGTCTTTATCAAGCAATGTTTCAGCAATTACTTGATAGAGACAAGTTGAGGAAACTTATAGTAATGTTGCTCAGTAATAAGTAATACCTGTATTCCATACAATTGTGTCCATTGTAAATGATAGACATATACTCTATTTGTCTGGAGGATTTTGAAAGATGTATACATAAATACAAAATGAAATGAAATGAAATGGGGTTTAACGTCCAACTGTTCTGATTCTATACCAGGCTAATGTATGCGTGCATTCTAATGTATACACAGGACCTTGATTTTTTATCTCATCCGAAGGACTAGACAGCTGTCCATGTCAGGCCCTCCGTTCTGCACCACTGACAAGGGAAAACAACGTCAGAAAATCCAGATGAACTTTCTCGGCCAATTCAGGGATCGAACACCCGACCTCCAGGCTAGCGAGCCAGCGTCTTAACCACCTAGCCACATATACATAATACAATGAAACAAAATAATTCTAGACATCTAAAATAAATGGTTATTAGCAGAAGTGAATGTAATGTTTTTTTTTGTTTTTATTAAATCTCTGTGTACTAACTTTTTATCACCAGACTGTGAACCACCTCGATGTACAGCACTGAACAAAGCTTCTTCATCATCTCCATTTTCTAAATCAATATGGCGTCTGTAATCGTCACTTTTTTCTATATCTCTCGCGATTCGTTTAGCTTCTTCTTCCCGCTTTCGGAATTCTTTGGTGTCTTCTTTATTTAAAACAGTTCTAAAATACAACAGAAGACATGAATTTTACCAGTATTTATTTATCATTTTATTATACAAATTAGAATTGTCGTAATGTATATGGATATCTTACTTCCAATTGTAGGCCTACTCACTACCACGTACCAGCTTGGATTAAAACCAAGGCATTTGACTAAATGACAGACCTGATAATTTAAAGAGCATGAATTTGACCACACGCACCCAACACCCAATACTGCCTTGATCGTTAACTGTATCGGAATCACGTGAAATAAAATTAAAACAAAATGGATTTAACATCCCACTTTCTGCATTATGACTACGAATTTCGATGTTTTTTTTTATAAAATAAATAAAGGAAAACGATCTTACGTATACTGGTGTAAATTTTCATCGTACGAAGACTTGACACAGAATTGTTCTTGATTGGTTTTAAACATTTCATTTGGATCCCAGCCATTCTGAAAGATAAAATATTTGTTGTTAAAATAATGTAACGGAAGTACTCTCTGATCATTACATTATTATATTAAAATGGTGTTTTAATATCTTAAATATACATTCCCACATACAAACTGGGTGATTTGATGATATATTTGGACTAAAAACATATTCAAACTAATTATTTTATCAAAATTTTGCTTCAAATCCTTCTCAAAACATTGTAATTGTCAGGGAATACCCCTGCTATAAAAAATCGATCAAAAAGGTCATGTTTGTGTCACGTGACTTAGCTGTCTCGGTACCTAGCAACGGAGGAGTATTCATTGCATATACAAGGCGATGTTGTCTTTAATCGCTGACTATTTATTATAAATATTGAAACCCAATAAATTCTCGGATTATCCACCGCCCAAGTCTTTTTCCGTGGTCTGTAAGTCAGAAACTATTGTACCATCAAGTTCATCAACATATACATCAAGCGCTCACTTATGCTGGGAAATTAGACAATCTTCGCGTGCTACCTTTGACGTTACTCGAGCAGACATCACTAATCGTCAGGTTATCGGTTAGGGAAACCCTTACAATTTTGACCTGTATACACTTCATGGGTGTTTTTCAGGGAATTCAGTATTTTTCTAATAAGATTGGGCATCAATACTTCCCATATATAAAAAATTGCCATACTCTTATTGGAAATAACCACCCAATAAATACTTTTCTGGGAAAGTATCTTTAAAGATACAGTGTCTCGAAAGTATTTATAGGGTAATAATTTCCAATAAAAGTATGGCAAATTTGATATAAATGCTTTGGGGTTGTTGAGGGTACTATTAGTAGTAGGCTTTTGTCAGATGATAAAATGATTAAAAATTTGTTTAAATGAAATGGAGCAAAATCAGTTGTAGGTAATACAGATAATCTAAAAACTATTTTCTTTTTGTTAACTGGAAGTGAGTGTAATTCCTTGAGGACTGGAGCTATGTAATTGTTGTTTACTGATTATAATTTAAGATTTGATTTCAATCTGATGACGAGAGCTTGTAGGGGAGGGAATCAACTGAAATCAACATGACATAGTTTATTTCAACCATTGTAGAACATGTTACAGCTATGCAATAATCATATTTTATTAACACCATGTCAGGGTTCCTGCGGCTTCGTCAAACATTTTTTCAAGGATATTCAAGGATAAATATACGTCAAATTCAAGGATTTTCAAGGACATTTTTTAGCCTAAAGTTACAATTTTTCATCTTAAAAATAACCAAAACATTACCAACTATCGTTATAATCTCATATTTAAAAGGAATTGAAGACATTTGAAACAAAATTAAGGATCTCAACTGAAATTCAAGGATATTTTCCTATTTCCGCGAAATTCAAGGATATTCAAGACCTTGAAAATGAAATTTTAAATTTAAGGATATTCAAGGATTTTCAAGGACCGCGGGAACCCTGCATGTATTGCTAAATTATGTTTTCTGGTTATGAGCTCTGGAGTTTCATACTTACTGCTGAATCCCCTTCTTCTAAGCCTAATTCATCTCCATCTTCACCATCCCATGGCTGTAGTTCCATATCAAATGCTTGACCATTATTACCACGAGTAATAGCTGAATCCGTAAAAGTATCTGTCAACAAAATAAAGCAGTAATGTTTAATTTGTATATAATATGTTTCTCTCTATATGTTCTCTAGACCATGAGCACACCAATTATTTCACCACATGGAAAAAAAAGGAATCCAAACTTATATGTTTATTTCACTGAAATATAAGAACACTCAGTAAGTTAATTATTTGAATAAGTTACATCCATTTAAACTAACTTATGGTTATTTAAGCATTCTTTATTCATTGTCATATAAAATCAACCATTGCCACTATCAATCATGCTTATTAAGGAAGCCCATTAACTTCATGGCCACAAAAACAATAACCTATGGTGGGTAACAGAAGGTTCATGAAGTCGGCAGCCATATTGTGGAAAAGATCTTTCTCTGGCAATACAATAAATCAGAAACACTAAATTTAAATCAAAAGTTTTGATTTTTCTCTTTACTGTACACTACCCAACAACTAAGTGCACTTAGACAGGAATCTTAGATAAGTTACTCTATATAATAAATAACTGATTCAAATCCAAATTTAAGACTTTTCTCTTTACAAGACTTAGCGCATTTAGACACAGGAATCTAAGATAAGTTACTCAATATTATAAATAAATATTCAGGTTGGGCACATTTGAATCTTTTTACCTTTGACAGCATAATCTAAATCAACACCCAAACATGTGACTGTCATTACATCGTCTTTCTTAAAAATAAGTTTATCGATGATCATGTCTCTTGTAGGACAGCTAGGAACAGCATTTTGGCAATTATTGCCATTTTCTTCCACTTTATGGGCTAATTCTATTACAATATCCATCTAAAATATAAAATATATACACCATAATGATCAATAAATACAAATAAAATACTGCTATTCTGTTATATATTCACAACTGACTATCAATATCTTTAATAGGCATATAGTGATGGTTATATTTATAATAACAGACAGCTTGATAACGATACCCTCTTGCGAACGTTGCAGCTAAAAATCTAGTGAATGTTATCCATAAAGCTGTATGTTATTATAACTGATTATCGAGTTGCTAACATTAAATCTTGATACATACTGGAATTCAGCATTCTTTTTTTAGCACTAGTTCAACTTTTTAGCACTAAAAACAAACATGGAGGTCGGAGGCTTAACAGGACCCCTAATACGCCTTTCGTTGAGCATTCACATGAAATTGTGGACAAGAGTAAGACAAGCAGAGGTGACGGCAATACATGAACACATTTCAATGTGAATCCAGTTCATATAAAAAAAGAGAGAGAGGAATCCAAAACCAATTGAATAACAAACTTTGATGGGATTGAAGTCTGAAAAAACTTGATACTGTGACAAAAGTAAGAGGCGTATTTAACACAAGAAAGTCAAGGTCTTGTAATACCCCATACTCCCCGCAGTGTTTCGTTTAATTAGAATTAATCCCACTAAACACTGTTTAAATGGAAGCAAATTTCTGTTCATAATTAAGACTGGTCAATAGTCCGATTAACAACCAATAGCTAAACAAAGCTTCAAATTCGACCAAATATGTTTACATAACGTTACGTCATGACTCACGATTTTATTATGCACAATTAACCAATGCATAGCAGAATATTGCTATCAAAACGGCTACAATGTAAATAATACTGCTTGAAGACGAACGAGACTTTCACCGTTTATAATACCTTAAATCACTGTCAAAAGTTTTAGGGAAGACCCCAGATTAAACGAAGGGCTGTCATGTTGCTGTACTTGGGATAGATTTGATTGAACGGGAAGAATAGACACACTCCCTCCAAAGCTCAACTATCAGAAGCCAATCCAGCAATGGGAAGAGAAGGATTTCTCGGGCCATTGCTTCAGGAATATGGTAATACCCTTGATTTTTTTTAACCACATGTTTAATGTCAAAGAGTTCTATTACAGACAAGAATGATAAGAAACTGTCCTTTCCAGCCTCTCTGTCTCTGGTGGGGAAAACAAGCCGGAAAATCCTAAGAAACTTTCTAGGCCAAACCAGGAGTGGACCCCAGACCTTGTGATTAGGGAGCCAGCATCTTCCTCACTCAGCCACAATAGATTGATTTAATTTTTTGTGTAGTTTGTGAAATTGGGTACAGAACTCGCTTAAAACAGACTTGTAATTAATATATCAAACTCATTATTGAATGGTTTACTTCACAAACCTGTGGTGAGATGGTTTTAAATATTCCTTCATAAACTGTTCCATTTTTAACTTGTACTTGTACATTCATCCCCTTAAAAAACATTTTATACAATTTTATTTCATAGGCTTACAAATTTAACACATCAATTCATTAAATCTAACCAGTATCTGTCAAAACATGTCAATATAGAAACTTCTATATCTGAACAATGCTTTGGAATACTCTTCACAAATTCTGTTTGACTATGTTGAGAGTCCAGAACAACACTATGGTTTCAAGTGATCGTCAAGTTGCGGTCATGAGCAGTTGATTGCAGTCACAAACAACTGTTCACAAGAAGAAAAAAAAAGAAGAGAATGCAAGTGGCGATTGGATTGGATCATGTACGGTGCTGGCACCACTGGTTTAAAACAAATTGAAAAACATTTTATCAACGTCAAAGTCAAAGTCAAATCAAAACAAAAGTAATTGGTAACAAAAAGATAGTTCTGTGTTTTACTATCTCAACTTTTAACAATTTATTTCAGTGAATTAATACAATAACTTACCACTAGGGTGTAAACAACATGAGTAAAACGAGCATCTCCATAAACACCTTCAGGCTAAAATACAATTTTATAATAATTTATTTATATAAGTATTTACAGTTACATGTACTTACAATATGTCTCCTCATGAAGGACAATATTAACTAAAAAACATAGTACAATGTAATTATAAATCAACAGTGTTAATTATATTCTACATGTAGATAGTCTCTTTTTGTGACAAAATAATTTACGTCCACATAAATCTTAACACCAGTTGCATGATCCATTTTATTACGGTTTAATATTTTCAATTTTGTTTCACGTCTCCAATCAACTGTATGATTCTATATATTAAAATCAATAATCAACTTACAACAGCAGTTTTATCTAATGAACTTCTCTTAATATTTGCAGGATTTCTGAAATTAAAAATAATATTTTTATCACATAACCAAATGTCACCACATAAACAGTTAACGCCCACCTATTCATACACAAAGTTGGCCTACTATATAAGTGTACAGTATCACATTCACACTGTTATAAATTAATCATGTTTTCTGCTTTGATTGATTTTCTGAAATGAATTAATCTGCAGTAAAATTCTGAAAATGTCAATTTCCTGAATCTTCTCTTTCCACTAATTTTGGTTAAAATTATTATGTTTTTGTATCATACATTTAATAAAATGTCTAAATAGTGTTGCTAGGGTAAACTTGGGTACTGTAATATTAAGTAACATTAATAATAATATTGATCCACAGTTTTCAAGTTATACTAGTACATGTAGATGCCTATTGTTCAATAATCATCTGCTACAATAATAAATAAAGTTATTGTATACCGCTATGTATTTAAGTCACAAAGGCCATTTATCAATTCACAAAAAGACTTAACATTAATGTGCTCCCAAGAAAACCACATGTCGAATTTTACATTATAAACACAAGTAAACAGCAGAACATTTTACTACATGTTTTAATTTATAGTAAATGGAAACAAATGCAAACTTCCCTACCATTGTTGAAATTTAAGAGTGCTAAATTTAAAAAACGGTGAATGATTTCAAAGAAAATTTCTATTAAATTCCATACGGGCCAATCTTTCTATTGGTCTGACAGACATAGAACTTAAAGTTACAATTATGTTTGCTTTAACCATTCATACATGTAGGTCTATGTTCTTTTGAGTACATGTATGTAGCATTGTAATGAAATGTAATGGGGTTTAAGTTAACGTCCTACTGTTCTGCTCCGACTAGGCTAATGAAAACGGGCGTACGCCACACAGTGTGCTATGAGGGAAACTTTGCCTGGACAGTGGCACTACAGCCTATTCTTATATCAAATTCCATCTGCCAAGGGATCTTTTACATGCACGCCAATGCGTACACAGGACCTCAGTTTTTCATTCCATCCAAACGACTAGACAGCTGTCCTTGTCAGGCCATCCATCCTGCACTACCGATAAAGGGAGACCACGCCAGAAATGTAACATTGTAGACCTAGTAGTTATCCAATATTTCAAATTAAAAGCTTTACTTGCGTGAACTAATAATGGGGCAAGATGAAAATAAAATAATGTTGCAGGTGAGGGAACATCACCCAGCAATAAGCATACATGAATTTGTCAAAACCATAAAAAATTAAAGAGTGTGAGGATGATAGACCAAGCTAACAATAATTGTTATTATTATGATCGTAACAAATATACTATGTCAGCTTATGCCTTATATGCAGTAAAGTTTTCAAAATATTTGTACCAACCAAGTACATTATGGAATGGTAACGCAATCCAAGTGACTCAATCGTTCTTATGGTACTTCGTATTCGATTAACCATATCTAGCAACTGTTAATCATATTGTATCCCTGCATGTAGTATTGTATACGAAATTCATTCTACATGTATATGAAATTTGGCAATTTGTATTATGATTTTCAATGCGGAAACAAATTACTTTAAGCCACTGGTTGTTTTTTTTTAATTCTTATTACTTACTGACAATCTATTACATGTAATACATAACATAAATCTTACCTGAATAAATTATTGTTTAATTCAACGATTTAAAAATGAGCAGCCTACAATACTGTATTCAAGTTTTACAATAACATTATTAACATGAATAAATCCTGTTTGCCCTACACTGCTTCAATAACATTGTTAATGTTGCATTTCACTTCCATTAGGGGAATGCAAATAAATGTTGGTGGGCAGAACAGTAGAACTATTTATAATTACAACATAGTAATAATTTTGTAGGAGGGGTTAATATCCATATACAATTTCTTTGTATATTTGTAGACTTTATTATAGGGCAAATCAATAGAGTTGGTGTACACATATGCACTATAGTGCACTAAGACCAGATAGGAGTCAAGACTCAGAATTCCATTCATTCATTAAATACAAGAAGATGTGAAATGTTTTTTTTATAGTCGGACTTCCTGTTTAATAATCGTCCATTCCACTAATCCGAACAATGACTAAGTCTTAAGGAATGAGTCAAAGGTGCGATGGATATATCAAATATCTGAAATAAACACATAATAATTGTTTGTTTGGCATCATTCTTCAACGAACCTGACATTTGTTGCAGGTTGTCTTCCTTTGGATGTGGTTCTTCGACTATTCTGAGTATTCACTATGGTGGACATATCGGCAGATATCGGGTCCCAAAAGCACCAGTAATTATGAGAACATCCCAATTAACAGCAGCAATTAATATTTAGCAAACCTCCGTTGATTGTTTGGAACATATATTGTTATTTTAGTATCTTTAAATAATCAGTGAACTAATTAACAATTATTGGTCAGCTGGATCCATCCAGTGACCGATTAGATTACGCGTATTAATATTTGTTAACCAATCATGATGGTACTATTTTTATGACTTCATAGTACCCTTCACAAAGAACGATAATGATGGATTTATCATGAAATAATAATCTCCATTCATTTTGATTTCATAAGCATTAACCCAGTAAAGGTTATATTTCGTAAATAATAGACAATCTCAATGACGATAGAACTATGTTTTAATTCGTATAAATAAATAAAATGGCGTAACAAGTCTTATTCGGGGTAGGACCCATGTTCTTTTAGCCACCAATGCGATTATTTAGCATTTCAACGATCTAGTCGTGAATTGCACAAATAAACATAAATGCAAAACTCGACGAAAAAAATTTCATTGATCATTATTTTGTGTAATAAATGAGGGTGGTGTGAGGTTTTTAAACGGAGGGTTTGGTATTTGAGGATATAATTTGCCCATGCGCAAACGAATCCAAATTATATTTCCGGTTGGATCTGTCACAAATTATTATGAAAATCTAGGTAAATTCTAAATGAAAATGACTTAAATTAAGTACCAGTGTTATTTTTAATGTGGTGAATCCGCTGAATTAATGAGATATCGACAGGTATCATCAGAGAAAATTGTTATTCTTCTATACCGGCAAGTTCGTTCTTCCATCTTCGTCATACTCATCATATCAGACGAATTACTTTTCTCTTCACGGATACGGCTAGGCTAGAATTTAAGAACGACACTAACATTGACATTCACCTGTGACACGGTTTAAGCTATTCAGCTTCAATTATAAACCAATTAGCCTAGACATTAATTACCTCCAGCAATTCTCATATGTACTTTTTATAGAAACATCTAGATCTATGCAGTTTTGAAACCGAACAGATTAGTAGAAATAGATAGAAATAATTTTGTTTATGTTTTTGTGGAGAGACAGTTAAAATACAATACTCTGAATAGGCCTACATTGACAGAAGTGATTCTTGTCAATGTCTTGTCTGATTGCTAGACATTACTTTTGTAGCAGAGATTAAATCATTATCAACAACATTAAGTCATTGTCAGTGGTCGTTGATGCCTTGATTATAATTTGTAAAAAATTCTGATGGCCAATTCTAATCCAGCTCGAATGGATCACCGTGAATATTACGAACATGACGATGATGATAGCGAAGATGAGGAACCACGTAATCACCATATCCCCAGGCTCTCCCCATCCAGAAAATTCAATGGAACAGCTGCACAAGTTGTTGACAGATATGGTTTTATAGGTGGTAAACAGTTTACAAATCCAGAAGAGTAAGTGTTCTTAAGATAAACATATCTTTACACTATCTTTTTATTGTTTTATGTTAATGTCTGTCAATTCATCTTAGATGTGTTGTTCAATTCACATTCACAAGGAAATTAGATCTTAGCCAAATCAAAATTTTATTAGCCAATTCAGAAACTTGTAGCTGAATATTATATTTCTTCTATTCATGTGTTAAAAATAAATATTTAATACTTGTATGTACTTATTTAATGCACAAGAGTATTATTTTATTCCCTGAACTGTCCGAAAGTTCACATTTGCGAGGATGCAGGCAACAAAAAATGAGATTCTGTCGTACAAGTGTCACTCGTATACTCCTCATCAAATTAATGACATCAATCACATTCACATTTTTGTCATCAGTAACTATCTAGAAGATGTAGAAGTTGTATCGGCCATTTCGTTAATAATGTGCTTTGCGGATGAAGGTAGTAAAAATGAATCTGTCCTTATTTTGGGTTCGGTAAATAAATATCAGTATCATCGAGACTTGATCTTTCGGTCGTTTTTAAAATGCGTAATCATTGCATTGACTAATTTGCCATTTGCAAGATTGAGACAAGAGTCAATTAATGTACTAAAAATAGACACTACATCGAATCAGTTGAAAGGAGTGTTGAACTAGACAATTTCAAGATTAAAATTAGAAGATTTTCGAAATTACACTCTCTCTAAAATTCATTCACCAAAACTTTTGCCAGTATCATCAATTTGATCACCAATAATAAGAATTATTGCCATTGGCGAATTGAGGAATGACTAGGGCGGACACTGTTAGCTTCTTTAAAGACACAAGAGTAGGTTGGTCCGTGGAGGGTTAATTGTCTATTCATTTAGTAAATGTAACCACCATGAGAGTTGGAGATGGGTCAACATAGGCTTAGCCTGTTCCTCAATTCAATTTCAAATGAAATAAAATATTCTCTGTTAAAAAAAAGAAATCTTGAGATCTAAAAAAGTAAATGACACTGATGAGATTTTATTTATAATATGGTGCACATGTGCAGTGGACAAACTTCAACTAAAACATGTCACCAAACAGGTGTCACATGATCTCTCGTGATTTGTGATATGTACATAATCAAATACTATAGTTTCCGTATGCAATTGTCTAATCCTGTCTAGCGCTAGGAGGGTCATTTCATGTCAATTCACCCAAAATATCTAGCATTCTAAATCCGACTATCTCAAGTTTTCATAAACTTTATATGTTGGCAAAGCTGAATTTATGAATTTAAAAGTTTCAGCTCAATCTGACTTGCTGTTTCTTTAATAGCTTATAAGCATCTATTTTATTGGCTTTTTCACATGTTGCCGATAACGAAACAAGTCTTTAATTAAAAACCAAACCACCTGGACTACTGGCTCAATTTTCATTATCTCTGTAGGTTATTTTGATCTGAAAAGGATAAGGAATCAGCTCCCAGATCAGACCATAAAACACTTTTAGATTCAATGTCCTTGACAGATTTGTCTAATTGAAGGGATCGTTATTTCAATTGAATCATTTGGTAATAAAATTTATATCATAGTTTACTTTCAGGCATATGAAAGCTTGTGAGTGCATGAGTGCACCTAAAAAAAAACCCAACTCCTCTCTATGTTTAACTTTTTAGATTTGTATTTTTTTTTAATCTGTGGCAGTGATTTTAGAGGTATCCATGTTTTCTACCTAATGTATTGAGTAAAATGAAATTTATATTTCTTTTTTTTATACATGTATTTTCTATGGCCTCTACTACATGAAGATCTGACCGGTTGTTTCCCCACATGAAGACAGACATTAACCAATTAATGTTGATATTTCTAGTGGGTTACCCACAATTCTGTGCACCTCACGCTAAAAACTTGCCGTAACAGACCATTTCATTGGCTAATCCCTCTCATTCATCCAGAACACGGGTTATATATCAACTCTTCCAGATCCTAGTGTAGTGAAGACAAGTAAAACGAAATTTTGAACTATAAAAAATGAAACGAAATAAGATCTGTGTTTTAATCAGATTGATACTGTTTAAGTTACACTGTAGATCTAGGTCAGTTAATACTTTTATTTTACCAAATGACATTTCTCTTCCTTATTAACTTAAAGTTGACATGTAGTTATCTGTCTTTTTAAGTACTATATGGTAATCATAAAATTCATTGGCTTTCATGTTAGTAATGGTAGAAGTTTCCTGCACATATGGATATCAGATTTTTATTAATTACCAAGTTTATTTGTATAAAGCTGAGACGTGTTCAAGTACCTTGCAAATATAAGATTTGTGAAACACCTTTAGTTTGTCCACCACTCATGGAATGGAAAATTATTGCCTGTAATAAATGACTTTCAACCTCTGAGCATGCGAGTTGTATCATAAGGTCTGTCATTGAGTCAACTAGCGTGGTTTTGATTCCCCGGTTGTATGTGACAAGAAATAGGGTCGCCTGTCCAACCTCGTGCATTTTCTCCGGGTCCTCCGGTTTCCTCCCACTGTTAAAAACCCCTATGCACAAGTAATTTATTAAAATAAAATTGAACCATGTGTTAGTCTCAAAATGACCTAGTTTGTGTCTAGTGGATGTTAAACCCCATCTCTCTCTCTCTCTCTCTCTCTCTCTCTCTCTCTCCCAAAAGCTTTAAAAGGGTCCCTGACCAGTAATCCCCAAAATGATAGTACTGCCTGTTTAGACTTTATTTACTAAAATTAGTATAATATTAGCTACCATAAACCATATATTACTGTTAAGTTGGCAAATAAATGTTGATATTGAAATATGTTTCCTTCACATGGTCATTGGTCATAAAAAAATCATTGAGATTCTTACAATTAATTTATAATCATTGAATTAGTTACTGTTTGTGGTAAAAAGGTCATTGATCTAATAAGTAAATAAAATAAAACCAAGTACGAACAATCCAAACCATAAGACAAAATTCGAAGTCCTTAAAAGGCGGTATAGGCAAAATAGTGTAATCAGCAAATGGAGTGTTCAGTGTATTACTTGAAGTGGAAGGTAATTCTAGCAAGATTGTTTTGAGCTATGAACTTTTGCTCGAACAAAGTATAATTTAATGGTGTATAGGAATAGTTTACAAACAGTTTAATCTCTAGCAAATGTCTCTATTGATATTTATTTACCCCTTTGATATTTAACGTTTTAGACCATTAATATAATATAAGAGGAAATTGGTCTTTATTATTGATGATATATACATGGTACTTGTATATAATCAAGCTCAATATTTGATATTAATAGGTTATGAATTGAATTCATTTTGTTCTGATGGGACACATATTTAGAACTAAAAGTAGAGTTTTGAATTACATGTAGAAATTTAGAAAGTTTATACTGGAATTCAAAATTGAAAGATATAATGATTGTTAATAAAAAGATTCCTGTTGTTGTACATGTACCTACCAAGGGCAGATCTAGTAGGGGGTGGGGGCAAATGGCACACACCCTCCCACTCCACCCCTATCTGGATCTAAGGGTCACTGGAAATGGCATTTCTGGCCCCAAATTCACAAAGCATTCTCAGACTTAAGATGAAAATTAACTCAACTTTCAATCACTCTTTATGAGAAATGCCTTTGATCCAGAAATACAAAACTTTGCACATAGTTTCTTATTGATGTATTTGATACATTAAAACAACAAACCTTTTGTTAAGAGCTATATATTAGTTAAAATAAGGCGAACAATTTTGAGTAAATTCTCAACTTAAATCTGAGAATGCTTTGTGAACTTGGGGCCTGGGCTTTTAGCTTTAGACATTTTTCCGGGGGACCAGTGTTTTGTGCCCCTGCTATCCATGGTCTCTGGATCTGCCCTTGCCTATACATGTACAAACATGTAATAAGCAAGCTTAATCATGATTTCAATTCATTAAGTTCTAATAGTAGGGGTAGAATTTTTAATAATTGGAAATTAATAATTTAGAAAGTTTATAGTGAAAATTAAAATGGTTGATGATTTGTTTAAAATATTTTGGTAATAAACAGGAATGGGATGGAGACGTTTAGTGGAATTTAATTCAAATGAAACAGTGTTATTAATTCTTAATCAATACACTATTAATACCGAAACTAGTACTGGATGATTACATAATCAGGTATTTTTAGTTGTCACTGAGTACAAGTGACTTGTTGAACAGGATCGACTCGACCTAGAAATCTATTGACATGATCAATTGAGGAAATGACAAATCATGAGATTAAATCGATACATACAAGTTTTATGTATTACAAATAATATTTTAAAGAAATAAATGAAATTATAGGGTGCATTAGACCTGGATATATAATCATATTTAATACTGTGTTCAACATCCTTCTATTATAGGTCAACATCATATAATTATGTCAATCATATGCTATTTAGATTTAATACAGACCAATTTTTAGTAAGATAAAGCATGTAATCTATACATGTGTATTAAAAAGATCATATTATACTACAGGTCTTTATTAGTAATATTACATAACTTTTTCATGCATGGCTTAATTTGAATCAGATACGCCCTATGATTATTTCGCCCTGTAGGTTAGGCTTTTCAAATCCAACCAAGTTAGGAAGAGGTGGCATCGACTGGTGTGGTAGGCCTGTGTTTCTTTTCAAGGCACCTACTTTCAGGGCCGCGTCCTTTTTATTTATTTTAACTGTTATACTGTAAAATAGGACTGGTGTTTCCGTCATTTTGGGACTAACACATTTTATTTCAACAATCGGAGTGCGCGTATCGTTCTTTAGCTGTGGGGTGGGAGTACTGGGAGGAAGCTGAAGACCCGTAGAAAAGCCACAAGGTTGGCAAGCGACCCTACTCCTAAAGCGAGGAATCCAAACCATAAACATTTAACTCAATGACAGACATAGTGATTCGGCACACATGCATTAACCATTCGGCCACCCAACTCACTAAAACACAATAGATACTGTTAAATTTATTGTTTTCATGGGTAAAAACTTCTAATTATTAATAATATAAATATATAAAAAG